AAAAGTAAATATATTGTATAGCCACCCTCAACCCCAAAAACAACTCTGACCTATTGAGTGGTCCTCAATAGGTCCCTGTTACAGAGTCATGTAATAGAGCCCTAATACAACCCTAATACGGAGTCATATATTAGGGTTGTTTTGGCGCATCTCATGGATGCTGATTTGTATTGGCCATAAACTCAGAAAAATGTGTTTTGAGGTATCAAATCAAATTGTAAACGATTAGACCAGAGAACTCTGCTTTGGTTTTAGAGGCCCAAAAGCTGTCCTGGAATAAATAAAGATATTTAAAACTCCAAATATGAAATTGTAAAAAACCTGCAGTATCCAAAAGATCACTAGTTTGGCACTAGTTTGGAGAAGACTGGTGGAATCTGAATTTTTCTTATTTTACAGAATGTAAAATAAAAATGTAAACTGTATTTTTTTTTCCATTAATTGATATGGTATCATGGATTTCAGCTTGTAATGAACTGTAACCAAAGATTTTTAATGAGCTCCTTTCATGGCTAATTAAAGTGTGTAATAACTAGCTGTTTTTTGCCTCATGCTGTCAGCTTTGACCATCAATGACAGGCAGTTTTCATGATTTACAAATTTCTCCTCCTCTTTCCTGCTAGTTATGTCTTGTTGTCTGCACTGACAGTGTAACAGATAACACAGAGCGCCTCCGACTGACAGAGTGAAGGCCTGAATTTCCTTCTGCTACGTCTCAGTTATCTGCGTAGCCTGAATTAGTCAGTCATCTCACTCCCACTTTATAGAGTGCAGCATGTCACTTGTCAAAACGGATCCACGATAACTTGAAGCCTACAAAAACACACACACACACACACGCACACAATCTGGCACACACTAACAAAGACAGATGAACAAGTGCGGACAGTTACACTTGAGGCTGGCAGCCTTCACCTGCGAGAGTCTACAGCTCATTGTAAATGGCATCACGAGTTACACAGCAGGGTGCAAAACACCCGATCTTAAAAGGTATTAAAAAAAGGAAAAACAACTACACGCATTGTGACTCATGATCTTGCACTCCTTAGACATGAAACCCTATATCCACTTTCAGGCTAAAGATACTGCACTCTACTGTTTGAAGGCACAATGGAAATGATAAAAGCGGGATGAACATATAAGCTGTTCTTGTGAATGCAGGTGTACAGCTGTGAGTAATTTTTTATTTTTTTTTAGAATGACATTGACTTTTTAATGTTGTAAATAATGCTAATTTAGGACATCTTCATGTTTTTTCTATTTACTATAACAATACTATAACAATATTGTATGAGAAAAAAATAAGTCTAGCCAAAATTATGCCCTTTAAAAAAAAAGTCACATATCCTCTGTATATCCACCATAATCATGCCTCTACTGAAAAAACAATTCAAGCTGAATGAAGGGACAGACTGTGTGTACACGTATACATGTATAGACTATCCAGAGGGGGTGTTTGACGTTCCCTGTTTCACGCAACATGGCAGAAGGGCTGGAAGTCCATGATCTGATGCTGAAGAGGATGTTGGTCCTGCTGTGGACTGCACATATACCAGTTTGGATGCTGTAGTCTGATTTGGTGTCTACAAGGCGGTAGCCATGCTGTGTCACATATATACAGCACTCTGTAGGATTCTGAGTGTCAGAGCTCAGGCTGTGTGTTAAGAAGCTGCCCTCGCTCTCCTGGAAGGTCAGCCTCTCTGCACTTGAAAAGCTTCTCATGTGCATCTATGCGTTCGACGGCCCTGCCTGCCTGGGTGACTGCTTGCAAGCTTGCCTGCCTGTGTGTCAGCCTCTAATGATGAGGATGATGGAGGGAATCAAAGAGGAGATGGCGCTGACGTTGGGGTGAGCTCTCCGTAGGACACCAGGTGATTGGGGAGGGAGCTTTGAAGCAACTTGTTGGATGGCTGTCCATTAATGTAAAATATCTTCTTTTCAAAGAGCTTTATTCAAGCTCAGAGTAGCGGAGCCCATAGGGGTCAAGGTCTCTGGCAGAATAATCTCTCTCTCACTTTAGGTGGAAAAGAAGATAAAAGTAAGGATAGTGAATAGTGACCTGGGGCCTCATTTATAAAAATGTTCTATGTTTGAACTTAGTCTTAAGATCATGTGTTCAGATGTCTAGATCGCGTGCTTACAATCGATTCATGAAAGATGCTGAGCACTAAGTAAAGGTGCTTAGACAGGCTCTGAGAATGTCAACTTAAACTGACCGCACCTGCCTTGTAGCTTCCCATTTTATAATGTTTAGTGGATAACAAAAACAGAGAGATGCTGATATTTTGAAAGGCAAGGCAATTATGTGCAAATAAAGTCTGTCAAATCTGCAAACTAACTTTTCACTGTCTTTCCATAACTCAAGGACAAGAAAGCCTTCGGTGTGACAAACAATTCTTGTCACCTTTCACTAACATATCTTATTGTTATGTTCGTAAAAGGCAGCACAGTGGCCTTCAGTGTGGAGTTTGCATGTTCTCCCAGTGTTCGAGTGGTTCTCTCCTTCCGCGTACTCTGGCTTCCTTCCACGGTCCAAAGAAATGCACTTAGTGGGTAAATTGGCCATAGTTGTGAATGTCAGTGCGAGTGGTTGTCTATTTCTTTGTGCTAGCCTGCATCAGGCTGGCCACCTCCAGCCCTCCCACGACTCTGACAATGACTTGCAGAAGAACCACAGGCCTGAGTGTCTCTACGTAAACATGACACTCATGTTATGTATTTTTGTTGTTTTTTTCCTATCAGCCTACCTTTCTGACATGTCTCCCCAATGTGATGTTTGTGTAAAGTTGGTCAGAAGGTTCCTTTGTAAGTGCGCTTGCGCCATTAGCGTGCTGCCTGCTGTAACCCTAATTTCCTTCGGGATTAATAAAGTATTCTGATTCTGATTCTGATTTTTCAAAATTAAGATTTTCTTGGTACAAAATAACTCACTGTTATAGTGTTCTATGTTTTCCATCTTTAAGGATTCTTAAAGGATTCTTAAGATGAAAATTGATTGTAAGAGTTTTTTTTATATGAGACCCCAGCCCGTCTCCTTGACCCCTTCTGCTGACGTGGCCTTGGAAAAGAGAAGAAAAGATGAGGCGTCTGTCCTTTTCGTGAGTGATTTCTGCTTACATAAGAAGAATTTTATACACGTGGGTCGCCAGTATATCAGGTTGAGCCTTGAGAAAGGCGTTGGGAGCTTTCCCGTCTCTGATCTGAGATCGTTATAAGCACGCTTTTTGACCATTTCTGGATATCTATTTATTTAATTTGGTCAGGGATCAATGTGACTCCTGGCACATAAAACAGCCAGCAGTTCTCACAGATCAACTTTCTCTAGTCACCATGAACTACGCAGGGACAGACAGGATTTTATCCACCAAGTAGCAGGTTTATGAATAGTGAGTTATGGTTGCGTAAATCGCCTCCATCCGTTTCAAGTTACTGCAATCGAGTTGCGGGTCTGTGTTGGCTTATGAGAGCGGCATTGAGAAAGGAGGAGAGAGCAAAATTTGAGTAAGAGTCAAAGATCACAGTGCCCTCATCATATGGTGTGACAATCCCTCTTGTCTCTTTCAGTGAGGCAAAAAGGAGACAAAGATGACACACAGCAGCTCAGCCTGTTCATGAACCCTATTAAATCCAAGGAAATCTTTGATATGTACTCTGATACCGCATTTTATTGATGCTGGGAGGGTGTTTACAATATCACATACAGTTCTGCATTCCAGGAGATCAGAGCTAGGACTGGTTTAGTCCTTGTGACCCTTGAGAGTACCCCCTAAACTCATACAACTGAACCAAGGTTGACTCTTGTCCGCTTGAGTTTTTACAAGCGTTTGTGATATATGGGCTCAATATGTTATGTCTGTCTATATGTTCTCTTTTATGCACACACTTATTTTAGTTGTCAGTCTGCTGATTATCACCCTGTTTAGATGCACTACTATATGCTCTGCGTGATCCAGGGAGTTACATCACATGGCATCGTGCCACATGTGCCAGCATTTTTCGGTGCAATATTTGAATTATTTGAAATTTATTTCACGAGTTATCGGAACATTTTTGTGGTTCACCCAGCAATTGGCATCAGGTTGAGTGTACATTTCTTAACATTTTGTTAGTGGTAGTCTTTGAATCAGGAGAAAAATCCCAATATAAGAATTCCCAAACACACACACACACACACACACACATTTATACACAAGCACTCAAAGGCTTCAGCTTCTGATCTGAGCTGACAACTCCTAAGCCACCGTTTCCTCATGCTGCTTAACTCAGACCACATTTCTCCCACTGAGCCTCTCTGCTCTCCCTAGTCTGGCTTCTCTCCCCATTCCATCCATCTTTCTCTCCGTTCCTGTAGCCAGCATCTGGTTTGAATATTGCAGTGCGTGCTACTGTGTTACCGATAGAAGTAGGGAGTGTAGGCTTCTCTTTGATTTTTCATCATCTCTCTTCCTGCTCAGATCCTACAATGCCTACGTTGAGAGAACAAAGCTGAGTGTGCAGCTTCTGTTCTGACAAACTGGATATAGATGCACTACAGAGGAAAAAAGAGTGCAGATGTATGTTATGTTATTTTGGTTTTGTATTTTCATGCACGTTTAATGTTTCATTTTGAGTTCATTCATTTCGTATTTGTGTGCTTTGTCATTTTGATCACACAGTTTGTGTTCATAATGCGAGGTTTATTTTCATGCTCATCTCAGTGTCCAAATTCACTTTTGTAGTGACGTTTCCTTGATGAAAACTGAACTTTTCCAATGATTTTGCAAATTTTAAGAACTTGCATTTTGGTATATGTTGAATCAAAGTAGGTAGTTTTCAGCACCAGAGAGTTTTTTGTCCTTTTTAAGCATTTTGTTTTAGTAGATAACTACTATAACAATGATGAAATCTTACTGTACGTGCTTTCAACATGCACAGTTTTTAATCTAACAACGTCACACACTTTCATTTTTTATTTTAAAACAACTGTATGCTGCATATTAAAATCATGGTTTCTTCCACAGACAGAAGCCAGAGAAACTATTCCGAGAATGTTAGCGGAATTGGACCTGGGCCGTACAGAAAAGTGTGTGAGAGTGAACTCGGTGTCTAGTGGCTTGGCTGAGGCGGACCTGGAGGTAATTTTGAAGGCCAAGGTTCTCCCTCGTGCCATCATGTTGCCCAAAGTGGAGGACACACAGGAAGTGCAATGGGTGAGTGAAAAATCATCATCGTCATGTATAAATAACTGTTGTTTTTCAAAATCAAAATAGGCTCAAAGTCATAATTTAGTTTTTTTCTGAGCCTATAAAAATGTATGAAAAAGTAAATAAATAAAAAAAACAACAGCAAAAAAACAGCTGCACTTAAAGTTCCCATTGCATTTCTTTCTTTGAACTCTGACAGTCTTTTAAAAAACACTGGTGATCTTGCACAAACTCATGAAGTAAGAAGAAACCTCGGGAATCTTCAAAGCAGTCATAACAAGCTTTCCCGTTTCCAAGTAAAAGAGGGAATCGATCCCTGTCAGGGACAGACAGAGTGTTTTTCTTGGCTGCTGCTCAAGAAACAGATGACATTTCTTCGGTTTAACTTCAGAAGCCTGATAACTTTCTGTAACAGCGCAATGGTGCCTTCTGCCTCTGGTGAACTCACGGAGGACTGCTGTGAACAGTGTCCTGTTGTGTCTAAGAACTGATTTAATCAAATGTAATACCCCATAGCCAAACCAGAATGCTTCAGATTCATTACTTTCTCTTATTCTTATACACCTTTAACTATAGCATGTTGCAAATGTTTACACATGTGCAAACTTGCAAAAAAAAGGCAGTGCAGTCGTGGTTAGGCTATCAAAAACTGAAGCCAGATATTAAAAACGTTGATTCTCTGAAAAAGGTCGCTAAACTGAATTGATAAATCTAATATGAAGCAATAGTGTTAGATGTTTTCCTGGTATTGGCCCTACCTCTGCTTTCTATAAATTAGAGGTAGGGCCAATACCAGGAAAACAAACCAAGATGGCCAAGACCAGGAAAACAGATGTAGAGAAGTCAAGCCCCAAAAAGTCAGCAGACATTGACATCATTAATGCAGACCTGTATGATCAGCTCCAGTCACATGCCAGGGTAAACAAGATTTATTCCCAGTCTACTTACTGTTTGCATCGACATCATTTGCTGACCTTCATTTTCATAAAAAAGACACGGTGCTCAAACCACGTCTAAATGCTTTTCTTGCTGACACTTTGCATTGAGTACCCCAAGCAAGCAATGCAAAGTGGGGGATATAGCTTTTAAAGTAACATTTTTTGGTCTCTACTATATCAAGCCGCATGTATTCAGAACAGTTACAGTTGATTAAACAAGCGCGACACATTGTGATATGTTTAGAGGAGAGAATCTGTAGTAAAGGTGTATGTCTAGTCTGCTTCTTTTTTTTTCTTTTTGCCTCTGTGTTATTACATACATGCACGCACGCACACATTTATGCTCATACTTGGTCTGAGGGAAGGAGCAGGAAGTTTTTAACTAGTGGCTTTAATTATAACATGTCTATTTCCTGCTGCCCTTTCTTTCTTGCAAGTATAATTGCTGACAGGTGTTCACTAATTCTCTCCCCTAGCTCCTTTCTCCCTTGGCTGCTTTTCTTCACTTAAGAAAGTCTTTTTTTTTTTTTTTTACTTTAAAAAAATCCACTTGTGTTGTTATGCTGTGACTCAGCCAACTTAGAAAGCTTTAAGTTGTGGATAACTGTCTGTTTATGTTATGTGGTGGGGTTTTTTTAATATTAATGCAAAAACTTGAATTAAGTTCGCCCTTTATATTGTTACTGTACCCCTCGAGAGAAAAAGCCTGTAGGTAGCTTGCTGGTTTTAAGCATTTGATTTATTTGCCAGTATGATTTTTGCATCAGTTGGTGCATATGTACCCTTAGACAAAGTGAACTTGGTGGCACTCGATGAGGACCTGAGTCTTATCTTTATCCCATCCCGCCCAACTTTTTCACTCTCTCGCCGCTTTGTACTTTTCTTGAGTGTCTGTGTGCGCATTCGTGTTCCTTGTGTTGTAAACAAGTGTCTGATTTTCTCCACTCTTGTAAGGCAGTGCAGTAAATCCCCTCACTTGTTTATTTTCCTCCCTTTTTATTGATATTAGCTCAGGAACCTCCAGACTGATTTGTCGCTAAAAGATGGACTTGCTTGTTTCTCTTTGTGTGGAAATCTTTTCCTCTGTCTTTCTCCTCTCCTCCGGCCCTTGTGTGACTGACAGGCCTTATTGGGCTGTAACAGGCGTAACTCCCTCCTTTGTTTGAATACAATTCTCACAAAGATTTCGGAGCCGTGTGCATTCTTTGCCCACCACACTATTTGGTGTGCACTGGGACCAAAAGAATCGCACCCTGTCCCGCTCCTCCTCCTCTGCTCCTCCTCCTGTCCCCTCCCCTCATCCCTTTCTCCGCTTCCCCTCTGTGAAATGAACACTTCAGCTGGCCGGAAACATTTAATCTGGCCCCCTTTTGAAGAAAATTAATTGAAACTTGTCCCACTATAGCCTCCTTTCTCTAGCTCTATCTCCCCCTCCTTCTCTTTTCATGATTGGGTGGCGAAATTATCAGAGGCCTTGTTTGCAGCGTGGCTTTGAATGAAGAGAAGAGGTGTTATTTCTTCTTTTAAAGTTACTTCTTTTTTCCATTTTTGGGGGGGAATAACATTTTAAACAGGACCTAGTTTTAAGAGCCATTGATAGCTAATGGTTGCTGCACCCATCTGAGTACCAGTGAACAAGGACTGTAGTACCTCTTGTATGCAGTGTAAATCAGACCCTTAAAGTGTATAATAGCTGAAGAGGAGAATACAGCAGAAGGACATAAACATGTAATCAGAAAGCCTCAGAGGCTTTTCAGCCGGCGGTACTGCGTGGAGCTGTCATTTGTTTCCCTTTGGTGGAAACCAAACAGTCCACTCAGCCTTGTTAGGGTTTGCATGGCGCAGCGTTTTGGTGGTAATCTCCGTGTGTAATATCAGATAGGTTTCCCCACAACAGGCCATATCTATCTAGTTTCCTCTTTCACAGAAATAGGTTTATCTACACCCTCTTTTCACACTCCCTCTCGGACCCCCGCACCCCTTCCTGTGTTTGTGAAGGAGGGGGGGGGGGATATTATGCTAAGCCCCCAGCGTTAGTTTTTATGTTGCCATAGCAACCTTGCTCCCACAGGGTTGTGACCTCAGATGATTACAGTACAAAGCCTATTGGGTCTTGAAAACCTCTTTGAAGATGAAAAGACTTTGATGGTTTGTATTTATGCAAATCTCTCAGATATGATTTATCCAACTGAGATTGAATGGAGAGATGATTAAAATTGCCCCTATTTTTTGAAATCCTTCAATGGAGGCCCACTCTTTCAGTTTTGAGAACAAGAGTGGTGAGTGTGAGCGTGGGGGTTATTTTGCTCTTCGTTTAGAAAAATAGTAGCGCCGTACCTGAGGTTATTTATAACCGTCCTTTCTTTTTTTTCCCCCCAGTGTGTCAAAGAGGAAGAAAACGGCATGGGGGGGAGGGTGGGGGGGGACATGGAGGTAGACATTTCTACTCTGAGCTTTTGCACTCTCTTCTTTTTTGTCTTTTTTTTTTTTGTCTGGCTTTGAAAGGAAATATCTGACGGAGGGGGCTTTTGTGTGTTTCCAGATGATAGATTTAGGAATTTGGGCTACCCCACTGGCAGTCCAGGGCTAGCTGTGAACTGGTCTGTTGGAAAAAATTGGAATGCTTTGGTCTTCAAAGAATTAAACTTGGTTTTAAAGCCCTACTTAGGTGAGCTTGCATATTAGCAGGAGTCGTGCAGGATAAAGGCCTCACCAAAATGTCACATCACACTCTGATTGTTGCTCCAGTCTCCCTGTTCCCTGCCACGGAGGAGGGATGCAAAACAGAATAATGTCACAGTAAAACACACTCAAAGACATCCTAAATCTTGTTTCTTCTCCCCTTTTCCGTATTTTGTTTCTTCTTTGGTTTTGCTGTGTGTGTGTGTGTGTGCATGTGCTGGGGCGTGCGTGTGCACATTTACATGTGTGCACACAGTCTCGGGGGAGCACATTCTGTAGTTGTGCAGAGCCTCTGAAAGAAGGTAGAGCAGAAGACTTCAGACGAAGGGGGGAACCCTGGTGATAATGTAAAATATTTCATTTCTCTTGCTTTTGTTGCCGCTCTCCTGTGCTTGCTCTCTGCGCTATTTGAACCCTCATAGATGTGCCTCTGAATAAGGACCGAAATGGGAACAGTGCAAGTAATAAAGGTGTCAAGATTTGTATCAAAAGTGAGTTTTTGCACATTAAGATTTTTTTTCTCTCCACCTTCTCTCTCTTATCCCACAGTGACTTTTGAAAGATGTGTCAAATCATTTACGATTGTTACTGCTGAATATTTTTTTTTCCTTCCAGTTTTTAAAATCACACACACACAGCCACACAATCGCTCTGTGCCTCAGATTTCTCTTTCTGTTGAGTTTTCTCATTCGCTTAACTAATAGTGAGTTGATAAGTCCACTGAGGGTTGCAGCAGAGTAGATGAGGAACATCCAGTGTTATCCAGTAGAACACGTTCCCCCCC